TCTCTAGAAGTAGGTTGGTTATTGCCCTGTTGGGAAACAGGGAAATGGCCTGATGCCCCTATTTCTGACCAGCTGTTGCAGAAGGAAGATGCAAGATGTACAGAAGACACGAGGGAGCGTCTACTAATCCCCATGCTTCGAAGCCACGTGTTTCCCTTTGCAGAACCGGCTAGGCTCAAGGATACCCAGCCAATCAGCTTAAAATGTTTAGCAGTTGACCTCTGTGCTGCTTCCCTTGGGGGTGTTTAATCTTTGGTAACAGGTGTACAGTGGTAGCCTTATGTGGGGCAATCCCTACTTTCTGTCACTCATTGAGGCCTTTGCCAAAGAAAAGTGGAAGCCCTTACCTCGACATAGCCAGCCTGCTATGATCTGATGTCATTAAGAGAAGAGTTGAAAGACCATCCCTTCTCTCCTGCTTCTGTGCCAAGTTCAGTGTTCACTCTGCATTTCTTTTGGGGTGGGTTGGATATATTACAGAATTCCACCCAAAGTGCTAAGTGTGCCCTCCTGCAGAAGTGTCGTTGGTATTCACAGTAGGCTGTGTGTGGATGTTTCAGCCATCTGCTCTGCTCCCTGGGTCCCCGGGTCACGTCCATACTGAGAAATATGTGACCGTGCCAAAGAGACGTGGACGCCACGTCGGCTTGTCATGGTGTCCTGGAAGACTCTCCAGCAGCCAGAAGAACCTTCTGTGCTGTTCTCACTGGAGAAGATTTGAGTTGCAGCTTGGAAGAAACATGATGGCATGGAACGGGAGGAGGGGGCTGTTGTATCAGGGCCCATTGTCACGCCTGCTCTCAGCTTGTTCAGGACTCAAAATCTCAGAGTGCATTTCAGAGGGAGAGATGTCTAGAAGTCAGATTCTCTTCTCATCCCATTGGTTTTTTCCGTGGTTCCTGTTTTGTGGGCCACTTTGCATAGGAGTGACGCCAGCACCCCTGGATTGTGCCTTCCCCTTGCTGTGAAAAATTCAAACCCCTGAAATAAAAGGAGGGAATTGCAGGTATGGCCTGGTTAGTTTTCCTGCTTATTTCTTTATACAGGCAGTTTCTGTGTCATTGTATTATGTTAGGTTTCAGAGGCGGGGAGCTTACTCCTGCCGCAGATGAACAGGCACGGTTCTCGGAATACACAAAAGTCACAAGCTAGGTTTCCAGGTAGAGCAGATGAATGAAGTTTGCCATCATGCTCTTGTATTTCATATCAAATTTCTTTATCTTTTCCTATCGCATGTCCTTGGATGTGACATTTTGATGAAAATACTGAAATTACACAAGCATAACTTAGCAACAAAAATGAAATAGACAATTGAATGTGGGACATTTTTCTGGCATGCCTTCCAGCTCAGAATTGGACTTCCAGTCAAACCCCTGTTAGTGACACCCACCTCCTCCAGTTATGTAAATGGATGCTTGGCTTGGCAAGCCTTCAAGGAGGTTTGGCTTGGAACAGGAGAGGAATTAGCAACCCTTTGAGGGTGTCATTTTTACCTTGTAATACGCTGTGGAAAATACTGGAAGGCGGTCCTTGCCTGAAAGGTGCAACTTAGCATTAGGTTGTTATCAGAAACGTTGTCAAGTCTGATGGGAAATAGGTGCTTCTATATAGACAATATTATTTTAGGATGCTGCTTTATTTTCTTGATAACTTCTTTCGAAGTCTGAAATGAAATCCTGCCTTCAGTAACTGAAACCATTTATTAAAAATAGCAAGAAATGAGATGGGGACCAATTCTATTTTTATTCTTGGGAATTTAAAAGAGCCACTAGTGATTGGTGTCAGCTCCCCCAGCATGTACTGTATACAATTTCGTATTTCTCCTGAACCAAAAACAAGTACCTTGCACTCAAGAAACAGATGCCCTGTGTGCGGCCGGGGGATGTTTTTCTAGAAAATGTTCCACTTCTGAACACCGCGAAGGACCTTATTTGATTCATGGTGAAACACAGAGGTTTTGATTGGAGATAAATTTGGGGTCACTTACGGTTCAAACTTGTGAAAGTAGTTCCCAGGAAGACAGCATTAATGACTGCAGAGCTTTGGGTAATAGATTTTGAAAAGCAATTGTGAATTGGGGATTCCATCATTTCATTTAAGAGGTGAAGAGGGATTGATTATTTAACACGCTAGGTGCAAACTTGTTAAATTCCTCTTTCCCTGTCCCTGCTTGGCGGAGCTGCCATGCGCGGCTCAGTTCTAAGTTCTGGCCTAACGCCACTCGATATCATTGGGAATAAATCGCTGTTCAGCTGTCTGTTCCACAAACAACAGTAATTGAGTTTCACAGACTTTATCCTGATTAGTGAAAATCAAATAATTGGGTGGAATTCCCAGGCCTGTTCTCTTACACAAACTTATTAGAATTGATTAGAGAGCTGTTTGGAGGAAAGACTTGCCACTAAGATTTTTTTTTTTTTTTTTTTTTTTTTTTTTTTTTTTAATAATTATATTTTTTTTTTTTTTTTTTTTTTTTTTTTTTTTTAATGACCAAAGACCATAAAGTGTAAAATTAGAGGTTTTGGCCAAAAGAGGTACTCGATTTTTTTAATGCCAAGAAAACTCCATGCCATGCCACAGAACTTATTGTGTACATACTTAGGGAGTTTTAAGAATTTCACATTTGAACTTAACAGCAGTTTACCACTTAAATGGCAGGCTGGAAAAATACATTTTGAGACGGATAGGGAGAATAAGAATATAATTAAAAGTATGCTAACAAAGTAAGCAGAACATATTCTTTTAGAAAATGCAGTTTAGACCAGGTGTGGTGGCTCATACCTGTAAACCCAGCACTTTGGGAGGCTGACACAGGTGGATCACCTGAGGTCAGGAGTTTGAGACCAGCCTGGACAACATGGTGAAATGCTGTCTCTACGAAAAATACAAAAAAAGAGCCAGGCATGGTGTTGTGTGCCTGTAATCCCAGCTACTCGGGACTCTGGGGCAGGAGAATCACTTGAACCAGGGAGGCAGAGATGGTAGTGAGCTGAGATCGTGCCACGGCACTCTAGCCTAGGCAACAGAGCAAGACTCCATCTCAAAAAAAAAGACAATACAGTTTAATTCCAGCCATCCTCAGATTTCTTTTCCCTTTAAAGTGGCTGAACCCATTGGAGATGTGATTCATTTTGCAGAGCTACCATTTCCAAACTTAAGGAATATTCAAGCGGGAGCCAGGTGTCAACGACAGCTTTGACAGAGGGAGAGACTGGCTGGGTGGCCGATTGTTGCCCACATGGAGCAAAGACTGGTTTTTTCAACAGATGGAGAGTACAGGATGGCTGGCACCTGGCAAGTTCCAGAATCTGGGAAGAGGGCAGGGCAAGAAGGAGCCAGAGGCGAGGTCCCACCCTTCAGGGTGCAGTGGGCCACAGAGGTCCGCACCAGCCAAGAACGTCCCCAGGACGACGTGGGTACCTCAGTTCACCCCATGTTTTTGGCACAGTCTACTTTTTAGGAATTTTCTAAAGGAACTTCTCAGGATTGATGATTTGTCAGAGGAACAATTAGGCCAAGAGAAACTTGCTTGGTAGCCATATGTAAAACATAACTATCCTGATAAAACTAGAGAGGCCTCAAGGACCAGGCAGGACACAGGCAGGTTCTAGGTCATGCACCAGGAAGTTTGTAGGGCAGGGTCAAGCGACGGAGGCCAAAGAGAGCTGACATCATGACCTGTGGGGTCTGAGCATCTGGAAGGCTCCTGGCAGCAGTTACCCTGGTAGTGTCATTGAGAGGCGCAGCAGCTCGGCCCTCACTGCTTCTGCCAGCCCTGCTGAGCCAGCCCAGCCCGTGCATTGGGAATGCCTGACTCCTTCTCCAGAATGTCTCCTGTCACTGACTTCCAGAAAAGGAGCTCCCTCCTATCTTACTGGTGTCAGTGTGGGAGCCCTGCTCCCCAAGCTCCACGTCCCCAGAAGGTCCAAGCTATCCGGGAGCATGCCCAGCCCCGTTCAGGGTCAGTGCAGGAGGGACGAGGGAGGCTGCAGGGCAGGAACCAGGGTTTTGAGATGTGGGCGGCTCCCTGGGCTGTTGGTGTCACCCCAGGGGTGAGTGAAGGCTGTTTGCCACATCTGTGGAATGTGGAAATGAGAACAAAGGCATGCTTCTTAGTGAGGCCACCAAAACCTCAAGTCACATCAGCGGCTGAAATCTATCATAGGTGTTGAGGATACGTAACTGCCACCAATAAATGCAGTATTTTCTTCCCTGCCCCTGAGCTTCCTCTAGGTTTCTTATCAGATATTACACACAGACGTCTAGTGCTTCTAAACTAAATTA